TTCCTTTAAGAAACTGACAAACAGGCAAGAGTTACCTGTACATGAGGTAAGTAAGATTTGTACGACGTGTGCCATAGTAACCAGATGGAAAATGTGAAGGTCTCCAGTGGCAAGGCTTATCCCTGAAAAATCCTGACACTGCAACGCAGGGAAAGCAAGCACCAAGCCCACCTAGACACCAAATACAGAACGTCAGACAGATTGCCTCTCCTTTCACAGCAAAATACATTTCCATTTTCTTACTGTGGTCCTTCCTGAGCTCAGCCCCTCCCTTTAAGAAATCTTTGTTCTTAAAGGATATACACATTAGAAAATCCCCATTTAGGATTGGCTAAATGAAATCAATTAAGAGTTAAAGGGGTCTCGATGGACACTATCATTTCATTTATCCTATACATAGCTTATTGTTAGTAATAATAAAAATAACACTTGAAATCTTTCCAGGGAGTGAACAGTTGAAAAAACTTAGGTTTTGGACCTACAAGCATCTAGATATGAACCCCAGCTTCTCCTCTTATGAGCTTCTTTAGGTAAGGTAACATTTCTGAGCTTCAGTTTCACCTCGGTAAACTAGAGATAATATCTACGTGTTTCGAATCCCTCATTAGGAGGGATGTGAGGAGCCAGTGTGAGTGCGTGTGAAAGCCGGCAGGTACAAAATAAGTGCTGGTTCTTTGTTAGCCTCCTGCTGCCTGCATGGTGGTGGTTTTAGTGGTAGCAATAAGAATAGTTGAACTTTATTAGGGATATATTGCTGTAAGCTCTTAACATGGATTAACTCACTGAGTTCTGACACAACCATATGAAGCAGGTACTAAGCAACTTAAAGGTACAGAATCTGAGGTCCAGCACTTGGGGCTGCGGGTGTGGTGGTGTGCTCTGTGTTCCGTGCAAGGGGACCCTGCTGAGGCGGAGCTGAAATTTGGCTTTTTTGTTAAGAACACCCACTGTTTACCAGCTGTGTCCTGGCACCAGGCTGCACCTGCTCAGAAGAGGTACCTTTCCCTGAATCATAAAAAGGGGCTGTTTGCTTCTAAGTAATGTGACCACAGGGCTGTAAGTGCCCAGATTTTCTAAAATGCACACAAGCACTGTATGGGCCAGCAACAGCCATTATGTTGCTGGTGTTATTTTATCTCTTTATAAGTTAAAAGCACAGAGAACATAAATTACTGACCTCAGTAACAAAGCAAACTAAGAGATGGAGAATGTCTAGACATCCCAGGTCAAGTTTCTCAACTAGGTTCCTTAATATTTTCTTTTTGAGGTTACTCATAAAAGAATTATACTCAGAAATGGTGAGAATAGTATCATATGATTAACTCCTCCCATCTGTCTCTATGCTACTCACCAAATCTAAGGTAAAGTTATGTACTACGATAAAGAGGACTCCAAACAAACTGCAAAAACTCACCAGTAAATGAAACATGTCAATATCCAATATGCATGGAAGGTTTTCATGGCTGTCATTAGGCACCAATGCTAAAGATTTAGAGAAAAACACATTAGCACATTTCATATGCTAATGTAACTTAAAATGTATATAATCTAGTTTAAATTTATCTTTTTGCAAGATATAAATTTATAAGCTAAACTTTATACATAAGAAAGCCAGTATTACCAAATATTTAATTCATAGCTGAGAGAAGTTGTACCATTAAAAATAATTTCAGATGAGAAAATACCATAACATATATTGTAAATGCATTACTACTCACATGCAAAAAGTTTACAAAAGTGTCCTTGCACCACTGAAAGTGACACCACTGTCCAATGTGCTGCTGCAAATCTTGTTAGTGACCGAAGACAGTCATCCTGAAATAAAAAGATAGAAACAATTGACAAAGAAGCCAACATATGAAGTAGTTCTTTTCTTTCAGGAGTGTTAGTTCAAAACACAGCTGGATGCACAATGAAATCACTCTAGATGATATGGAACTGAATCTATGACATCTCTAACTGACATCTCTAACACAGAATAAATGGAATGGGAAATATCTAATTGTATGCTGAGTAAGCGAAAGTTATCGCCTTGCTATCATGTTAATAGTTCTCCAGAAAAGAATATGTACATCAGACAGATGAGTAAGCAACAGACACTCTCAAGAAGCTGATGTAGTATTTCTTTATATGTATTCTAAAGAGATAACCTAACATGTAGGAAATGCTCCAAATATTGGGGAAACTATATGCAAGAAGATGAATGAGTGTATAGGAATTAAAAACTGTTATGAGGACTAAACAGCAATAATGAGAGCGCTGAATCCTAACTACTAGATCACCAAGGAAGACATAAAATAGCAATAATGAGAAAACTCTTGATTTAAAGTACAGAATACGATAGAAACAAGGCCAGGCGCGGTGGCTCACACCTGTAATCCTAGCACTCTGGGAGGCC